CATTAAATCCATTAAATATCACATTAACTCTCATGTGACCACACAATTAATAAAGTCAAAAATAAAATAAGATAATAATAATAATAAATAAATAAATAAATAAAGGCTTACGAAAAATCATGGTCGCTACAATATACACATCTCAAAAGAATCTCGTCTTGAGATTCGATAGGAAAGAGTACTAAACAAAAAGCTCAGAGTGCATATGCCGAACTTTCTCTTCTAACTCCTAAGTAATATCCTTCTCATCCTCGCTCCATTGCACTTTCACCAAGTTTACTTTCTTGCGCCGCAACTACTTTACATCCCGATCTAGAATAGTAACCAGTCGCACCACATACGTTAGATCGTCACTAATCTCCAACACCTCTGGTGATACTACTTGGGATGGATCTTGCACACACTTTCGCAATAAAGATACATGGAACACGTTGTGAATCATAACTAAAGTAGGTGATAGGGCTAATTTGGAAGCCATATTACCAATCCTCTCAGTGATCTTGTATGGTCCCACAAATCTAGGTACCAACTTTCCTTTCTTTTCGAACCGTATAATACCATTTATTGGCGAAACCTTTAAAAACACAAAATCTCCAACATTCAACTCAACCTCCTTACGTTTTCTATTAGCGTAACTCTTCTGACGACTCTGTGCAGTCTTAATACGTTCTCAAATAATGTTCACATTCTCTATGGTCTTTCTCACCAACTCAGGCCCTAACAACAACGCATCTCTTACCTCCATCCAACAAGCAGGTGATCGACATGGCCTCCCATACAAAGCCTCAAAAGGTGCCATCCCGATACTTGAGTGATAGCTATTATTATAAGCAAACTTCACCAATGACGAGTGTTCTTCCCAACTACCATTAAGATCAAGGACAAAAGCTCTCAACAGATCTTCCAAAATTTGATTTACCCGCTCAGTTTAACCATCCGTCTGAGGATGATAAGTCGTGCTCAGGTCTAACCTAGTACTCAAAGCATGCTGAAAACTCTGCCACAAACAACGGATCATGATTTGAAGCTATAGAAACTGACGCACCATGAAGTCACACTACCTTCTGAATATACAGCCTAGCCAGTTTATCCGTAGTTCGGTGAACACTAATAGGAATGAAATGAGCAGACTTGGTGAGTTGATCCGCTATCACCCAAATAGATTCATTGCCTCGCTTAGACCGCGGCAATTCATGTACGAAGACCATAGAGATGTACTCCCATTTCCAAGTAGGGATCTTGAGAGGTTACAAAAGTCCAAACGATCATTAGTGTTCTGGCTTAACATGTTGACCACCACGGGAGTCCCACGCCTTGGGGTACTTAAATAACCATTAGCTTCTGTTTGACCACTTTGTGGTCCTCTGTTTGTCATGGATCCATTAACCTCTGTTCTGTGCGGACCAAAGTGCTGTGCGGAGCTAACTGCTACACTATTGTGGGAGCCACCTTTAGAATCCGTACGAGCCACCTCTTGAATCTGTACCTCTGTTCTGATTGTCACACCTGTGACCTCTGTTCTGTACTGTGGTTATGGTCATTTACTTACATAATTTCTGTATTTCAGCTTCTGCCACTTAAATGATTTGTTTACATAATCTCAGTTTTGCTACTTAACGGATTATTTGTTCCGACTAAGTTATCTTAAATGTTTTGGCCTAACTAACTATCCATGGTTATTTCGTGTCATTTATACTCTTGGTATAATATTTATCACTCTGCCATGTGCTTATAGTTGTTTACCAATTTTCAGGAAACAATGCAATTCAGAAATAGTTTTTGGATAGTCTTAGATACAAGGTTGCGGAATAAACACACACAGTATTTTTTATGATATTATTTATATGTAAATATCAGCCTTTTTGGTCAATATATTTTTTAATAAAAATAGAAGCTCCAATGATTATTTTGGTACCCTTGTTTAAATATTACTTCTGCTTGCGTTATTTGATTTGTTTAAGAATTGGCCGTAGGTAACCTCAGTTATTGGCCATCACGATGCTTAACCCTTGGGTACGGGGAGCGGGTCGTGACAAAACGTACATCGATTACATTTTTTTCCCCCCTTCTTTTTTGCCCACAGTGGTCCTTATTTTGATTGGGTGTGTAAAACATTTAATTGAATGTGAATATTGGTGGTTGCTTGTGTTAATTAGTTAAGAGTGCTGTTTTTTCTCGGAGGAAAATCTTGCTACTTGCATCTTTGAATGTCTTATCAGCATGACTCTTGCAAATACTACTTAGATCCTGATTTTATCGGCAATGTCGGATCTAAAATTCTTCTTGGAAAGGTTGATTTAATTACAAATTTTATGTGTTATTCAAAATTTTAGGTCGCATCTTTGGTGTTTTAGCTTATAGATCCTTAATTGTGCAAGCTTTTTACGATTTTCTGGCTTTATCTTGAGGATGATAATTACACTTGTTTTTTTGTACTTTGATATGGCCAGAAGAATAAACAAATCAGAAGAGGACATTCCTGTGCCACCTCTATTTCAAAGTGCTGCTCTTTGGGGTATGTCTAATTGTTTATTCTGATTCATGTTTTTGGCCGCTATTCATGTCTTAATATGAACTTTATGGTAACTTGACTAGATTATTATTGTCATTTTTACTCCTTTGAACTATCATTTAATATGATTATATTTCCTCTAACTAAAATATATTACATTTTGTCACATTGCACTGTCAATTTGTATAAATTTGAAAATTATATTAATAATTCGTTACATAATTGGATCGAACATTGACATGTAACTTACACACGATATCTAAAATGTTATGAAATAATTTATTATTAGTAATTGTGTCCTTAACCAATATTTATACTGGAATAACAAAGGTAATCATATTTTGTAGGTACCTATAGGTAATCATATTTATTAGTAATTGTGTCCTCAACCAAAATTCTTTATTAAATCTTATTTAAAGAAAATAGATAGTGTGCAAAAGAGAGATGTACATAGCCATCAGCAACATTTAAATACTTGGCTAGGTTTGTTTTTGATAAGTATCATCAAAACATTTAGCCATCAGTGGGGGCATCGTTGATAATTCATATGATACATATTCTCTTGCTGCATATATCTTTCATCATTGTTTTAAATACATAAGCTAGCCCATTCAAATACTTGCTGGTCTCCCTTTTGTTGGATAAAGATTATGTTTCAAGGTTATACTGCAGTTTTGGAGCTGAAGTCTATTTTGGTTTGGTCATTTTTTGTCATATTTATGGGTAAAACTATGGACTTAAGTTGTTCTAACTTCTGAGTTCTACGTTCTTGGTGTGCTGCATTGATATCTCTTTATGTCTTTAGATAGTTCTGAAAATCAATACCATCCTTGAATACTAAAACAGAAGGATGTCTTTAGATAGTTCTGAAAATCAGTACCATCTTTGGGGTATCTCTCTTTTCTGTTTTATAAGTTAGACTTGGTCTAGCTTAATTGTGGTTCTTTTCCCTTTCCATTTTAGTAATTGTGTATGTTCCCAAAGATAGAGTCACCAACCTTCATCAAGGATATGGCTTTGTGGAATTCCGAAGCGAGGACGATGCAGATTGTGTAAGCTATGCTTCATTACTTTGTACTTTCTTTATTGTTCATCAGTTAATGCTCTTTGTATTTATTTTACTGTTCTCTTGAGTTTTGCTTTCCCTACTTGCTCATGGCTGTATGATCGGTTCTTTTTTTTAATTTTATTTATCTATTATTTTTTAAATCCACAATGCAGGCAATAAAAGTTCTGAATATGATTAAACTTTATGGGAAGCCAATAAGAGTGAATAAGGTGTGAATGTTTATCCGTGTCATGCATCATTTTCTGTTTCTTTATGCTTATGCTTAGGATATTGCCACATGAGCCATCATTAATGATTTCATGGTTTGACTTTCAGAGCCTTTGTTTGAATTAGATTTAAAATCTGATCAATAGTTTTATCTTCTTGTTTTTGGGTTCCAGGCGTATCAAGATAAAAAGAGCTTGGATGTTGGAGCTAACCTTTTTGTGGGAAACCTCGATCTTGTAAGAAATTTGATGCACTCGAATGTATTTTCATGCCTTGTAAACTGCTATATGCCTATGACACAGTTTTTCAACTTCGAACCTGGCTCTGATTTTCTTTGCAGGATGTGGATGAGAAACTTTTGTATGATACTTTCAGTGCATTTGGAGTCATTGTTACAAATCCCAAGGTTAAACTTTTTTTCTCTTGCTCCCGTATAGTTGTGTTGTTTGTTTCTTATTGATATATATAATAGAATTGAGGACATGCACTGCTCTTCCATCCTTAAAATCTTATCACTATGTTTTCATTCGTGCATATTATTATTTTTAGTCCTTTGGTTATGAAACTTAGTTTACATTATAGAGATTGTTCTTTGTTTTGCCCGTGTGTTCTTTCTTGTCATAGGTTCTTTGACTAGGGCATGAACAAATTGACAATGTTTTAATTTTTTTGGTATGGACTAACACAGTAGTTTGAGATAATATGTGGATTAAGAGAATTAGTCTTTACCATTTTCTGTTGGATTGGGGGAATGGGTAACGTAGGTATATTAGACAGTTGAGAACTTGAACGTTAAGAGAAACAAGAAGACAATAAGAGGAAAATTCTTGTCAGTTATATCTAAATTCATAGGCGCACGCGCGCGCGCACATACACACACACACACACACACACACTAAAGAGAGTATGTGCAGATTTTCAGTCACGAATTAAGATTTTGGAATCTCAATTGCAAGCTGCGGGCGTACCCGTTGCACCACCTGTTGCACCCTTGAACCAGTACATAGGCAGCAGGTATTTTCATTATTTTTACTAGTTATTACTTTAAATTGTCCAGAGCTACTATACAACTTCAGCCTCTTATTCAATGATAGGTTGTTGATTCACTTAGTAGTTGTCCCACTGTTTGGCCAATGTCACATCAACAACAATCTCATGCATTTTCATCCCAAGAGGTGAGCAATCATTTAATCAAAGCTTTTTTGACAATACAATATCTTATTAATCACAACATTTGTCCTTATTAAATATAGGTTCACCTTTCAAAAAAAGGGAAGAAGAAGAAGAACTAACAAGGTAAAAGTACTAAACATCACTAGTTTTTAATTTCTCACTTTTCTAATTCTATTGAGACATGATGTGATTTGGTGTTGGAAATTAGTGAGTAAGCCAAATCAACCACATGGTTTTATATATTAAGCTTTTAAATATGGCATGGAATTAAATCTATTTCATTTCTTGTATTTGTGATTTGGCTGCAACTGAAACGGAACCTGATTTTGTCATGGACCTAGTCAGGTCTTTCTTATTAGCCATTGCGTAGTTGGTTAGAACATTATGAGTCTAGTATGTAGACCTGACGAGTCTTCATATGAATTCTGTAAGTGGGTTAATTTATAATGTCCATGGTTTTGTCCGTTTGACCCTTCCATATTGAATGGAGAACCTTACCTCATGGTTAAGTTACAATTCTTTTTTGTTGGCAATCAAAAAAGAAAAGAAAAAGAACAATCGAAAAAAAAAAAGAAAAAAGGATAGGCCTTATTGATTCTACATGTTCAATTTGAAAGTTGAGTATCTTGTTTAATGTGTGTTTTGCAGGTTGCTTTTGACTTTGTTTTACTGTTGGGACATTTGCTGCTATTTTGGGAACAGTCGGAGCTGATTTTTTTGTTGAATTAATGGGTTCTTTTTAGGGATTTTTGTATTTTTCCGCTGCCCTATTCTGGAACTTATATTCTACAAGAGAAAGAGAGAGAGTCAATTTGTATTTTAAGATAATTCTAATTGCCTTCTATATTAGATTGTTGTTGGATGATTGAGACCCCTGTTGCTTTTCTTTTAGAGTGGCAAAATGGCACGCTTTTTGGCCTTTTTGGCTACTATTTGTTTAATGAGAAATCGGTAAACATGTTGGGAAAACAACTATTTGTTCCTGCACTTCTTCCCAATTTACTCTTTTTTTTTTTTTCAGCACTCAATTGAGAATTTGCATCTGTGGAGATCATATGATATGCTTGTTTTAATTCATCTGGGCATTTCTTGTGGATATGTATGTTGGGTGAATGGCAATGTTAAGTTGGGAGTCTTGCACCACTCACTTTTATGTACATTAATGTAATAGGAAGGATTTTAAACATAGCAACTTTATATTAGTGCTATTTTTCAATTTTATTACAGGGATTTTTTAGTTCAATTACATAAAATTTAAAAAAAAAAAATAATAAGGCTATCGCGGCGTTTCTAAAAACGTCGCTAAATATCACACCAAGGGTTGGTTTCTTTTAAAAAAAGATACGGCGGCGTTTTAAAACGTCGCTAAATAGCATGGTGACGTCATGTTAACGTTAGTAGAACTTTTAGCGGCGTTTTTAGAAAACGCCGCCTATAGTCATGTAGCGACGTTTCTAAAGCGTCATAAAGTTATAGCGACGGCCGCGTCTTCGGCGTTTGGAGCCAAACGTCACAAAAGGTTTTGACGGCGTTTTTAGGACCTATCACGGCGTTTTTTAACCTGGCCTTGTATTTCTCCAAAG